TCCCTTTCATGTTCAGGTAGATAACTTATTGAGTGGCCCTCGTAGCTTCATTCATTCTGGCACGTTTTGGCGCCCCGGGTGAATTTGCGCCCTGTGCAGGGGCACATCTGGCACATGCCTTAGGCCAGAAATCCTGATTAGAATCCAATAAATGCGGTGCATGTAACCCACATTATCGAAATAAAATTCACCGGAATACAGCTGTGCTCTGACACACACATTCTCTCTCTCTCTCTCTCTCGAGAGAGAGAGATGACTAAACCAACATGAGCGAAGTTAAGCTTTGCATGTGCATCAAAAGAATAAAAGAAAAAAGACTTGCCGTACAGCACTGTGTGCACGCACAGTCTTGTGCTGTTATGTCCTGACAATACAGAGCCTCAGGTACTTTTACTTTCGTTTTCAGTAATGGGACGGAATCATCATCATGTCGTCGACTACAGAGTGCAGGTTGATTCATAAGTTTCTTACCACTATACTTAAGTCTATAGGGAGGGAATCGTTCATCCCATAAGGAAATCAAATATACCATCGAAAAGTTTTTTTTTCTGCAAGTCATACGGTTTCAAATTCGAACGCAGAAATGCAAAATTGAGACAGGTCTTCTTGAAAGAGCGGTTCCGCTCTTTCAAGAAGACCGTGCATCAAAATGGACGAGCGCATTTCTTCCCCGAATACTCAATTTCCCGGTCGACGGATCCACCTGGCCCTCGAGGTCACTTCACTCCACTCCCGCGGAATGAGGACTCACTTGCAGCCGCCTTTCGTCTGCGCTCGAGGGGCCCCCCGGAATGGATGTGGAATGGATGCGGAATGGATGTGGAATGGATATGCGTGACTTTCTTCCCTTGTCGTTAGCAGTTTGCAGCTGGGACTCGCGCGAATGGCTTCTTCGTCGTTTAATTTGACTTCCCATTTAATTTAATAAAATTTCGCTTCCCGTCCTCTCGCATTTCCAAGGACAGACGAGAAAAATCGATATTCAAACGCGCTAAAAAAAAAAATGAATTCGGAGTCGCTTTTGGGAAATCGGTCATGCGGAAAGAGAAAAAACGGAATGGGATTTCGGGATGCTTACAGGATGCAGAGGGATCATTGCAACGAAGAAATTCATATTCGAAATGGTTTCCGAGAAAGATTCTTGAAATCCGCTTCGACAAAGGCGAATCTCATCGGGGAAAAATCTTTCGCAACGGGACCAAAAAAAAATATATATATATAGAAAAAAAAAGAAAAAAAATTGGCTGGCATCGGCGTTTCATCGCCGGAAAATCCCAACGCGATGATCCGAAATCGGTAAACCAAGATGAGATTTCGCCTTTGTCGGTTGATTTGTACTGGGATTGTCATTGGGATTTTAATTCCAAGTTTAGTTGCGAGTCTCTCTCGTGGATCCTCGATCGTTTAATTTTGATCGGACGAACGGCACAGCTGCTGTGCCGCAGAATGGATTTTTCCACAGCCTGAAAGTTGAAATGCCGGACGGCGACTTTCGTCAGCAGCTTCTTTTTAGAACGGTTGCTGAAGAGTGTTTACGAGCTTCGAAGAAGATTTATAGAAGATTTATTTATTTTCATGGGAATATAAAAATGTAAAACGGCGCATAACACGCGAAGAAATGCGGTTCCATTTCAGGAACGTGAAGGGACCAACTTTCCGAGAGAAAATGGCCTTCACTCGTCAGATGCAGGCGGCCATTTTGAAAAGCGGCCGTTCCAACTCGTTCCGCGACTCTAGCCCTGCGTTTTCTTCGTGCTTTCGGATTCCTGGGAATTCAATTCGAGCTCGGCAGGTGACGGAAACCGTCCTTAATTTACGGATTACAGCAGCAGTCGATGTTCTTTTCGAGGTTATTTTTTCCGCGAAACATTTCCGTTTCGCCTCCAGAGCAAAAACGGAGAAAAGTTCCATCCCTCGTCGCCTTCGCATCGATCAAATTCTCTATGCTTCAGACATTGCATTGTCCTAGAGAAGTGCACTTGCGAATGCAATATAGGCGAAGACTCCATTTCTGTCGAAAAACCTATCCAAATCGTTCTTTATAAAAAAAAAGCGAAGTCAGAATCTCCGATATTAAGTTTTTGTCTGTTCAAATTACCGTTTGGGCATGGCTTTTGCGAGTCAATTTAGCCATCGGTTCATTTATCGTCCAAATAGTTCCACAATTGTCTTAGTACCACAGCTATATGGGAACACTGAAATAATTCGCAATCGCCTGACTTGAGAAAAAGGGACAGACACTGGTGCGCTTTCATGAGCCAAAAGAGATCTTGGATATGGCACAACTGGCTCCTTTCCACTAGCTCATTTTCTGGACAATTAGCGAGGTATCCTTGGCCCATTTACCAAGCAATCTTGGACATAATAGGTATAGCATGGCGAATAAATGATTCATTCACAAAAGGGTTTATGGGTTGCACCACTTGCCACTTAAATAGGGAGAAGTGGCTATTCAAGCTTAAGTTCTATCCCATCAAACTAAACGCTTTCCTTTTGATAAGGACTCTGAATCAATATTCATGTTTAAAAAGGATACGATTATGACGCATGAGATCATGAACGTATACATGAACATACCGTGCCATGTGTCGAAATAAATCGATCTCACCCGGATCAAGGTGAACGAAAGTTAAAGGTTCAAGTTATCAGGTTCGTAGAAGCAGTGAATAAGCTGATTTGAAACAGACAACCTCATAATTTATTTCGAGTAAAGAGTGACACGTACATGGTCATGAAACCTATGGTCAGACACAGACGAGACAGGCGATGAGCACGAGACGGGACGATTCAAATTATGCACTTGAAAAAGCAATAAAATAGGACGTCAGGATAAACAAAATCACGCGGAAATAGACGTCTAAAAACAAGCAAGCCCGTCTTATGTGTAGGTGACATTTGCCTTGAAACCCCAATCGTCCGTATGGTAGTTCACTGACCTGGTCAGACCTGAAAAAGAGACGTACGGTTTAGGAATCAAATTTAACACAGTAAAATTTAACACCGGAATCAAGTTTACCATCGGGTTGTAAGACGGTGTATTTGCCCTGAGCGTATTGGCCATCTCGGGTCTCCTCGTGGCTTTTCACATCCCCGCCGATGTGATCTTCCACGGAATACTTGAAGTGGTACTTCGCAGGAGAGTCCTAGAAGGAAAAGCACATTAGTCGACGATATGCCAGCCGTTCATCCAATGGGTGGAAAAAAAAGGAAAACATACCTCAGTGGGTTGGGCGTAACCTTGAGCAGGTGCATACCCAGCAGCTCCATATCCTTCCTGAGGAACTTCTCCCTGTTCCGTGTTCTCCCCTCCAAATACAGTCTGATCGAAGGAAACGTGGACGGGGACCGCGTAACCCTGGGATGGGGCATATCCTCCCTGGTTCACTTCGTAACCTCCAGTGGGTGGCAGGTAAGAATCTTGGGGTGGTTTGTACTCCTGAGATGGGACGTAGCCAGAAGCCTCGACCGGCTTAGGAGAGCCGCCCTGAGCGTTGAAAGAGTAGTCGTAATGGATCTGAACAGGGGCGGCGTTGCTGTATCCTTCCAGGGGGGCTTCAGAAGAGGTTAGTGGGGTCGAGTAGGTCGACTCGGGTGCAGAGTAGGTGGATACTGGAGCCTGGTACGTCGACTTAGGAGCCGAGTAGGTCGACACGGGCGCCTGGTACGTGGCTACTGGGGCCTCGTAGGTCGACACGGGGGCCTGGTACGTCGACTTGGGAGCCGAGTAGGTCGACACGGGGGCCTGGTACGTGGCTACTGGGGCCTCGTAGGTCGACACGGGGGCCTGGTACGTCGACTTGGGAGCCGAGTAGGATGACACTGGGGCCGCATACGTGGGTACTGGAGCCTGGTACGTTGATTTGGGGGCCTCGTAGGTGGACACTGGGGCAGAGTATGTGGATACTGGGGCCTGGTAAGTCGACTTAGGGGCAGAATAAGTCGAAATCGGGGCTTGGTACGTAGATACAGGAGCTTGGTATGTTGACTTGGGAACCTCGTAGGAGGCCGCTGGAGGCTGGTATGTCGGCACAGGGGCAACGTACGTTGGTACTGGAGCCTGATACGATTTCGGGACCTCATACACGGGGGCGGGGGAAGCAGGAGACGTGTTCTGATGTCCTGAAACCATGTGGTGGTGGTGAACTCCATCAGGCATAGGATGAGCCCGAGCACAGGCCAGCATAGCCACGAACAGAACCTGGATAACATTCAAACAAATTAGAGCGACCAAACCAGGAAGACAAAACTTTAGTTTGTGTAGTTACTTATATCGTTCTGTCTTAACTACAACTAGCCAGTCAAGTAGGCACTGAGCAGAGCATGAACAAAAAACTTGCATAAATACCAATACAATGGATCCAAAACTCACCTTGGAAATCATGATGCACCAACCAGGGATGACCAATAAAGGAAGAAACGATGAGAGACCTCAACTCAAGGCTGGGAATGGAACTGCTGAAAACTCCACAAAACCCAGGGCTTTTATACCACCCTGGAAGTGGAGGCTTGGCCAGGATTCGCAAGGAAAGAGGGTGTGACGGGGGGGGGGGGGGGGGGGCAGGAAGAGGGGGTGGTGGCGGCCGCGAATTCCGCCCTACNGGGGGAGGGGGGGGAAGGAAGAGGGGGTGGTGGCGGCCGCGAATTCCGCCCTACACCGACAGGGGGTTCATGAATCCCTTTCCATCGGCATTCGATCACTTTTTTACCCCTTCTCAACAGTCTTCATCTGAAGTGGCGGGCATAAGGGACTTCGCGATAGGGGAGCTACTTGTTACTGCAGCGTGGGAGCATGGTAATGCGAACGTAAGGTTTTCATCGCAGGAGGTATTAATCCTTTCAGACATGAATTAAGGCCACTGACGGAATATTTTTTTTTGCATTTTTGAGCTCTTTCGCTATTGTAATTTAAATAGTTATGTTTTATATATCGTTTTTATATTTTATATAAATGTACCATATATCATACCATATATACCATGCATTGCATGATATATTTAATTACAGAACTGAAGATGACAAAACTGACGCGTGAAAGAAGGCCTCCGATGGAATCGAGCCATGCATAATTGCGCCCATTGTAATGTAATATGGGGCGCAAAGTCACGCGAATCCAAAGAAATTCCCATCGACGCGATGAAGATGGAATGTCGGTTGGAGTCTGAAAAGGGTCAAGGACGCAATGAGTCCAGTTATGCGCCAGGAAAATCAGATAATTAGATAATGAAATGCACTTCTGCATATTTTGCGTAAATTATTCTGCCGCTATTGACGTTTGTAATTCGAGCTCTAAAGAAAAATTAATTTTTTGGCATCGTGATTTGTGCACAAGGAATTGTAGCATTCAGCAACTTAAACTACGGTTAGGGCTAAGAAAATTGCCTGATCTGCAAATTGCATTATCTCGAATGAATTCTCAACTAAAATGTCCGAAGAATTTATTATTATTATTATTAAGCTATGATTAGGATTCTCGATATTTGAGCTCAATTTATTGAGGAAAATAAAAGAAATACTTTCATGAATTTCATATTTTCAAAACTCAAAGAAATAGGAAAAGGCCAATGAAGGAAACAGGTTTGCCTTCCCCCTCCCCCATTTAGTCGCTTAACGGCCAGATCGCTGACCTCATCGCAACTTTTTCCCGCCTCTCCGCCGCGGAATCGCTCGTCTCCGCTCCCGCCGTTTCCGCCGGTCATTCGTCCCGGATGGCTTTTCCCCGCGTTCGCCGAAATAGGGGAACGCGTTGGACACCGCTTGCTGCGAACGGAAAGGGACTCTATTCTTCTGTCGGATCCTTCTGAACCCATATTTTAAAATGGAGAAATTGCGTCAGAAAGCTGGACCTGGAATACCCATCGGCACGGGGTGATGAACCCAACGTGAAGAGCCGGAAAAGAGCTCAATCCCGACCACATCGTTTCCCTCCTCGTCTCTCTTTTTCCTGCAGTCTGCATCCGCTAGAGAGAAGCTTAAGGAGGGGGGGGGGGGGGGGGGGGGGGGGGGGGGGGGGGGGGGGGGGGGGGGGGGGGGNGGGCGGGGGAAGGGGGGGGGAGAAGGGGTAGGAAGGGGGAGCAGGGAAGGGGGATCTCATCAGGCATTTAGCATCATTAAGTGCATCGATAATGTGAAGCGAAGGAGGTTTTTCCATCTCCATGGCAGCAGCGCCGGAAACCAGTTTCCTAAGTCCCAAGTCAGCCAATTTCTCAAGTCCCAAGTCACTTTCGAGTTGAATTCTCCAGAAGTCGGCCAGTGAATGCGTTGGAGCCCATTAAATGACGACGTAGAGGACGCTTTTTCACGAATGGCTTTCATTCGATCTCATTCGATCTTTCGATCTCTTCGTAGACAAATACATGATTTAAAAAAGGGGGGGGGGGGATGATGTATCTGTAATAAACTAGGCAGGTGATTGACGTGATTCCACCAAAAGTATATATGATTAGGGGTGGGGAAAGCCAATCTCATATGATTCAGAATGTAAATTTCGGGAGAAATGCCTCTATCGCATCCCTGCTCGAACGATATATATATAACTATATACAGAGTGTTTCAAAAGTCCGTACTCATGGGTATTTTGAATTAATTAAATTTCTCAATGAATGGGTGCACCAAAATAAGTACAGAAGTACTAGTAAATATTCAGAGGGGGTTATGTCCCAGGGTTCATCCGTGCATGCAAGTTCATGGCATGCGATTTCAGCATTTGATGAGATGAAGGTGAGTTAGGAAATGTGGCTGTGGGTCTGGACTTTTGAAATACTCTGTGTAATCATATGCCGCTTTTAATTCTATACCGTTCACGATGGTATGGGGAAGGGGAACAAATTTATTAATGCAAGACTGAAAGGAAATTCGATTTGGCATATGCTGCAGTCTATCGAGTTCTGCGAGAAATCCACAGACGATTTCCTCCGAATGGGACAAGTAAATATAACAATGGAAACCGGGAGGTGGGGGGGGAAGGGTGCGTTGAGGGCGATCAGCATCTTCCTCGACGTTGCAATCCCTTGAGTATACCATTGAAAAAAGGTGGGATTTCCCCAGCTGGGAAAAAGAAAATCGCCTCAATCAAGGCGGAGCTACACCCTCACTCAACCCTCGATTCGCGTCCCAGCGAGAACGAGACGGGGTCGTGGGGAACGCGTGAGACGAAGGGCAAAGGCAGCCGCGGGGAACGTCCCTCCTCCCCCGATGCCTCCACCTCTCTTTTCTCGGAAAAGGTTTCGTTTCAACGAATGCATGCGACGGAAATGGATGAAGCTGGACCGACGCGCCGTGCCGGCTCCATTTATGGGGGGAAAGCGAGAGGAGGTCCTTGGGGATGGGAGGCCGTCCCGGTTCCTCTTTGAGTGCCGAGGCTGGTCCGGATGAAAAGCGATCGGTGGAGTCGTGAGGCGCTCTTTCAAATGCACCAGCAGGTTCTATGATTGTAACCGAACGGAGAAAAAAAAATAAGTCGACGAGATCTGAAAGAGGGGGGGGGGGGGGGGGGAGCTCCCATAGTCGAATCGCGAAGACGACCGTAACCAGGACGTCAACCGAACCTCGACAGGACGGGATTAACCCTTTCAGACCCAGCGTCCATTCCAAAGGACATAGCATTTTCATTGTGTCCATGGTAAATTCTTGGGATTCGCGTGACTTTGCGCCCCATATTACTCTACAGTGGGCGCAATTATGCATGGCTCGATTCCATCGGAGGCCTTCTTTCATCCGTCGGTTTTGTAATCTTCAGTTATGAAATTAAATATATAATGGTATGATATGGTACATTTATACAATATATAAAAACGATATAATAAAAAAACACATTTAAATTACAATAGCGAAAGAGCTCAAAAATGCAAAAAAAGAATATTATTCCGACTGTGGCTTTAATTCAGGTCTGAAAAGGTTAATCCCGTCCTGTCGAGGTTCGGTTGACGTCCTGGTTACGGTCGTCTTCGCGATTCGACTATGGGAGCTTCGAAAATGTGTCGTAAACGTAGTTGATCGAGGTCTCGTCGACCATTATAGACGACGAAAAAACGCCCTTGGAACCATGCAGACAGGTTTCCAGTCGCCACCCGCCTGGTCGCCGTGGCCTCGGGCAAAAGTTACGAGGAAGGAGGGGAATTAGAGATAATATCTCGGAATATTTTGGCTGTTTGACGCATAGGGACTCCCCGTCGAATACCAAAGAACCACGACAGAAACACGAGTTCGCAAATCCCCTCTCGACTCGATCCGGCGATCGTCTCGGTCGACCGAAACGACGAAGCGACTCGACCGCGGTCGAACTTCGACTTCGAACCGCGACGACGCGAAGTCGAAAGGGAACCAGAGCCATTCCCGGGATGTTCGAGCGGGAGGCAGGACGTTTCGCAATCGGCGATGACTGCTGGGTGGGGATCGGCAGAGATGAGTTGGCTCCAAGCAATTTCAAAATGTTTCTTTAAGCGCTGTGTTGATGGTGAAGGCCGTTTGGATCGTTTTCAAATGTCTCTCCTGTTTCTCTGCGCTAATTGTTTTTAATTCGATGCCGTCCTTGGTTCTTGCTCTGGAAGAGGCCGGAAGACCGTGCTTGCGTCGAGGCTAAAGACGAATTCGCATCTCGAACGGCTGAAACCTCGGTCGCACGATGTCGGGTGAAACGGGAAGTGTGGAACCCTGGCACGGTGGAAAAGAAGAGAAAGAGCGGAAAATGTGGAATGCGTCTCCGTATCCACACGCGTCTCTTTCGAGTCCATTCCATTTGCGGTGCATGCGAGATGGGGGTACGAAGAGGAACATCCAAGGATTGTCACGAAGGATCGTCATCATGAAACCATCCAACCTTGGTCATAACTTTTGAGAGGACAGTCAGATGCAGCTGATATCTGAGAGAGGTTCGTGGGCTTAAATAGTGGTTTTCTTGTGTATTCAGATGGCAGTGCATGTCGATAGGGGACACCATCGTTGCATATGCAACGGTAAACAACGAGTAGATAATAACTTAGGCACGTTGCCCCGAGTGTTATAAATGCCAAAGTTCAGAGTGGAGAGACGTGTCGCATTAATTAGCGGCTCTTACCAAAATGGAAGCTTTCTAGCTGTGATTATTCGCGATTTCGGTGCGATTCGGGAGAGACGAGATCGCGAACTTTAATCCGTGCAGCAGCCTCTCAATTTGCGCAAATTTTGCACGAAACGGTAAAAGATGGCGATCGTGAAAAAAAGGGCTGTACCGATGCGACCACCGGCATCGGTATGTTTGCAAGCTGCCGATGCCCGAAGAAGTCCATGGCATCATTTATCATTGAAAAGCGGGGAAGAGAGGACACACCGGCGGCTCGTTTCCAGGCGTGCAGAGGAATTCTT